GTGATTGACTTATTTCACTCAGCATAATGTCCTCCAAGTTCATCCACCTTATGTGGTGTTTTGCAGATTCTGCATTATTCTTTAGGGTTGCATTGTATTCAATTGTGTGTATTTACTTTAGTTTGGTTATCCATTCTTATGCTGATGAGCAGCTAGGTTGTTTCCATCTTTTTGCTATTGCAAATAGTGCTGCAATAACATGGGTTTGCATATATCTGTTATTATCCTGGTTCTCACTTCTTTAGGATATATACCTAGCAATGGAGTGGCCAGGTCAAATGGTATTACTCATTCCAATGTTTAAAGGAATTGCCATACTGCTTTCCAGAGTGATTATATCATTTGACAGTCCCACTAGCAGTGTATGAGAGTCCCAATCTCTTTGTACCCTTGCCAGCATTTGTTATTTTCTGTCTTGTTGAACTTTGATACTAGTGCTTGGGCAAGATGGTATCTCGTTGTTTTGATTTGCATCTCTCTAATGGCTCATGATCAAGAGAATTTCTTCATATATTTGTTGGTGCCTGAATATCCTCTTTGGTGAAGTGTCTATTCATGTCTTCTGCCCATTTTTTAATTGGATTATTTGTCTTTTTCTTGTTGAGGTGTTGAAGTTTTCTATAAATTCTAGAGATAAGTACCTTGTCAGATATGTCATTGAAACATATTTTTTTCCCAATTTGTAGGTTCTCTTTTGATTCTTTTGGTGAAGTCTTTGGAAGCACATAAAAATTTAATTTTTAGAAAGTCCCATTCATCTAGTTTCTCTTCTGCTGTTTTTGCATTTTGTGTTATGCTTGATAGTCTATTTATACCATTATATAAAGGCCCCTAAATTTCCCCCTAATTTTTCCTCGAGGAACTTTATAGTCTTAGGTTTCACATTTAAGTCTTCGATCCATCTGGAGTTAGTTTTTGTGTATGGTGTGAGGAAAAGATGTTGTTTCATTTATGCTGCAAATGGGTATCAGCTTTTGCTAGGATCATTTGTTAAATAGACAATCTCTTTATCATTGAATGGATTTGGCTCTTAGGTCAATCCATAGGTCAATAGATCTATTTCTGGATTCTCAATTCTATTCCATTGGTCTAGGTATCTGTCATTGTACCAATACCAGGCAGTTTTGTTTTTTTTTTCTTTTTCTCCTCTAGCACATAATCCTGTGAGAACAGGGACCATGTTTGAATTATGACTTTCTTTGCCTCTAGAGCAAGTCCAGTAATTGGCACATGGTAGGTATGCAGTGAATTTTTTTTTTTTTTTTTTTAAATTGTGATTTGGGTGAAGATTTACACAGCAAATTCACTTTCCACACAGCAATTTACATATACTTTATCTCATGACATTGACCACAGTTTA